AGAAGTAATAAAATAAAAAGAAATGTAATACTGCTAAGTCTAAGGAATCTTATTTTTAAAAATTATATGAAAAGCTACCACACAAAAATGATTAGTGAGAAAACATTTATTGAGTATTATAATTAATGATGTTCATAATATATACAATGTTTCCATATGGGTACTTACCCAGATATAATTTCTTGATATTGGGATATAGGATAAAGGGAAGAAATGGGTTAATCAGACAAAAGTCACTAGGGAATTTCTTTTATATTCATCCAGGATATGCCACAATACCTTTGGGATCCAGTTAGAAGCTGGTCAGGGGTTCATAAGTTAATTAGATGCCTCAGTGGATAGAGCACTAGGCCTTGGAGTCAGAAGCCTAGCCTAGCCTCAAAAACTTATTAGCTGCATGACTCTGGGCAAGTCACTTGACCTCTCTTTGCCTTGGAGGCAGTGAGGTGGCTCAGTAGATGGAGCTCTGGGCTTGGAATCAGGAAGACCTGAGTTCAAATCTGGCCTCAGATACTTACCAGCTGTGTGACTTTGGCCAAGTCATTTAACCCTTTTACATCAATCTCCTCATCTGTAAAATGAGCTGGAGAAGGAAACGGCAAACTACTCCAGGAGTTTTGCCAAGAAAACCACATGGACTGTATTGGCATGCTGTGGTCCACAGGGTCACAAAGAATTGGACACAACTGAAAGACTGATCAGCAAGGGATTATACCGTTATATACTCAGGAGGATAAAGGGAGTTGGTGCCTCTTACAGAAGAAGCAATCTAGAATCAACAGATCCCAAGCACCTTAGAATATACCAGGTATGAGTAAGCTAGACAAAGATGCACATGGGAGTTAGCAAAAAAAAAAAAAATCAATGGTAATCATTGGTAGCGCTTAATAGACTCATTAGTCATTTTACCTATTTCTATGGCCCACCACCTCCACCCCCTTCCATCCTTCTGTGAGCGTCTGACAAGACCACATCACAGTCTAGTGATCTTCCGTTCAAAGTGCCTGTATCCCACTAGAATACAGCAACACATTACTCTTTGCATTGTCTTTTAAGGAAAATCAATAGGTATTTGTTTTATTCTCCTATTTTTCTCTCTTTGCTTTCGTAACCCATTCATTCAGTGAATTCTTCCAAAGCACTATTGGGACTAATGGAGCTTTCCAGGAAATGCCAGTGGAAAAAAATGCGTTTGAGTAGCCTTGGCACTACTGTTGCCCACAGTTCTGTTGAATAATTTGAGTAGATGAAGATGATGAAGAGATGAGTCAATCCTTTGTTCCCACTCTTACCCACGTGACCTTGGAAATATCCTTCCTTACACTTCCTGTAACCTAAATTTCAGTTATGATGTGAAAGTTATTTAAATGAAAATTTTAAAATTCAAAATCTCAGAATTTTTTGTGTCCCTTCAAAGACACTGTTTTTACTATTTATGTTCTATGCAGCATTTGGTTCTGTGCTGTTGCCATCCCATCAGATTGGAGTGATTCTTCTCCTCCACTCAGCCTTATGAGTGGTTCTTTAATCCTGGCTAAGTCACACCCGGATCGAATATCTATCATTGGTCCCTGAAAGTGCTGCTTCTCAATTACGTCTCCAGTCCATACTTGGTGACTAGGTGCCAGAGCAAGCTATCCTATGCTGAGGAAAAGTTTGATTTCTTCTGTCCTCAACCAAATCCAAGGATAGAGGACAGGAACTGAAGTCACAATCTATCATTCATTCAGGAAATCTCTATCCAAACAGTTTGTTCAGGGTTCCTCCCCACCCCTAGTCATGCATTAGAGTTTGTGTCTTAAACCACAGTTTTGAAAATATGTGGGGCTGGTGTATATTATAGGCAGAACCAGGTTCAGGAATTGGGAAGCATTAGATAACAGTCAGCTAGGTGGCACAGTGGATAGCGCGCTGGACTTGGAATCAGGAAGAGCTGAGTACAAATCTGACCTCAGACACTAGCTGTGTGACCCTGGGCAAGTCACTTAATCCTGTTTGCCTCAGTTTCCTCATCTGTAAAATGAGCTGGAGAAGGAAATGGCAAATCACTCCAGTATCTCTGCCAAGGAATCCCCAAAATGAGGTCATAAAAAGTTGGACGTGACTGAACAACAACAACAAAGATAACAGTCACTTCTAACCTCCATAAAAATCCATTTGCAGTGTGGCTGAAGGAAAATGGGTGAAGAGAGGCACAAAGAAGGTATTTTCTGCCAGACACTTGCAAGGCCACAAAGCCAGTGCAATGGGACTGATGGAATACGCTGTGACTGAGTTTGTCTTGGTCTATAAAGGAAATACTATTTATCTTCCTCAGTTTCTGTGTACTAGATATCCAATATGTACCACAGTGTATTGCCTCATGAAAAGTGAGAGGATTTGAAAAACCTTGTGACAATGTTTTGCACTGTCTGAAGATAGTTCATAAGGGCCATAAGAACTGAGTTCTATAGCAACAGAGTGAACAAAGCTAGTATGATAGACTGCCAGCCAAAAGTCTTCATTTGATTATCCTGGAATACTTCTAGTCCTCAATGTCCATTTCTAGCTATTTTCTTTTCTTTCTATTTAAATCTTCTCTGGCCTTTTTCTTTATAGAACTTTCTGTCCTATCCCATGTGGTCTGTGTGCTTTCCTGTAGGTGGAAGTTGCTCAATATGGAAAACTAGATGAAGTGATTTTTTTAAGTATCCTGCAAATGTGTCAGATTTAATCGGGTTGTTAAATTGAGCATATCTGAAAATAAGACCTCTTTCCTCCAGAGAAATATTAACAATTCAAAATATTATTTCATACCAACAGGAACACAAATGTATGAAATGGATATTTAAATATGCTCTGCAATAGTCAGTCAAGGATGAAGAATTTAAAGGGCAGTTTTTCCCCCAGTTAGATTTTAGAAACTGCACCATATGTTTTTAAGATTATTAATTCCAGTTACAGAAGTCTCTAGTACAATCATTTTGGCCTGAAATAATTTCCCCATAACATGAAAAAAACTGCTAATGTGCTTGTGCCAGTACTTTTAGTTTATAGAAAATAAATTGAGAAAATATAGCTACTTTTTAAATAGTACAAGATTGTTCTAATTATGGAGAATATTAATGAAAGTCATAGCTTTAGGCAGAGAAAGTTATAGTTCCATATTTAAGGATGGATTTGTCAAACACTTATAAAACACTTCTGGAGTGAGATGTCATTTTTGGCTGTGAATATAATTTTGGTGGAGATTATAAAGCAAACAAAAAAGAGATGGGAGGAAAAAGCTTCCAGTAAAAAAAACAAAATCCTGAGCTTCAAGATTATTCCAACTGAAATGGAAGTTATCTGAAGCTTGTTGTTTATCTGTGACCAAGGCCCAGCCCTAGACAGAGTTGCGAAGTAATTGAAGGTGTCCTTTTCTCTCTTCTGGTACCTTTCCCTTTTTTGCCCATTCCTATAGCATGGATTGCTCAACATTGGCTGTGAATAAAGATGTTTTATAACTAATGTGCTGACTTAAAACTTTACAGGTATATTTGCATTTAAATGGGTGCTAGGTGACAGTGGATAATGGTGGATTTGAAAGACTTGATTTCAAATCTTGATTTATACCCTTACTACCTGACCCTGGGCAAGTCACTTCCCCACTCCCCCCTTCCATCCAGTCTCAGTTTCCTCCTCTGTAAAACTGGGATAATAATAGCACCTACCGTACAGGATTGTTGTGGGGATCAAATGAGATAATATATGTAAAACACTTTGTTAATATTTAAGTGTTATATAAATGTTAATTGTTATTAACTGGTCACTCCTGAAAGCACTAATAATAATATTTGTTATTATTATTACTAATAGTGAATACCTTACATTTGTATAGTTTTTGAATCATGAAATACTTGTACACACTTTAGAGTGTTCAATCCTGGAGAGCATTTCAAAATCATAGGAATGAAAGAACAGGAATAGAATGATAAGTGGTAATTTGGATATTTTACAACAGGCCTCTTCATATTCCACTATATCAACAGCTGTCTATTCAATCTGGCTGTGAGACCTAGAGAACATAGATATGTCTAGATACACTCACAAAGGTATTTCTAGTATATGATGGACAAACCAATCAAAAGACCATTCAAATAACTGGAAAAAAAATACAAAGTGGTGTTTTGTTTTTAAATTAATGGCTAATTTTTTGAATAACAGTCTAAAAGTTGGGCTAGCTGTACATATAGATACAATCAGTGAAATTACGCAGGCTCCTGCAAATAATCTAAAAAAAAAACAAAAACAAAAACACTGATTAAAGAGCTTTAGTAACATTTGGGGCTGGGAAGCTATCTGTTTTTCTCCTACCCACTGCTATGAAAGCAAAGACTGACCCCATATTGTTCCTGGGTATTGGTAGGTAGGAAAGTGGGGGGTTGAGGAAACAATTTTTAAAAGAAACACGAATGGGTAGAACAATCAAAACAGTTCTCCCACCTTTACTCCTTTTCTCGATGTGTATCCCCTCAGCATAGGTTAACCTTAATCAACCACTCTAACCCAATGACTAGAGCTCTGGTTTCTGGCAGTTCTTTAGAGGAGGGCTTCCTAACTGAGAGATCAGAACCTTCTAGGAAATCTCACAGCTTTACCTGGAAGATTTCTTATCTAAATTCTGCCACAGTTCTCCCTGTGTAAGGTGTGCTGGGGATTCATCAGGTGTCTTAGAAAGGAGGGGTTTGTCACTCACTACTGTACAAGTCCCTTCCTAGACCTGGCCAGAGGCTTCCTTTCAAGGTTGTCTCTCCTCCCCTGTTGATCTCAAATGAAAAGTAGATGTTCCTCATAAAAAGGATGAAGGACCTGTGTCTCAATTGAACATACAGTTTGCCCTCTTACTCTGTAGCTGTACAAGCATTTCCTTTCTTCAGGCCTGTATAGAAGAGGATTGGTGTTATTATGTGCAGCACTGAAGATTGAATGCAGATCTTAGAAATGTGGTAATGTTGAATATATATGTTTTCACTTTTTAGGAGGTGATAGAAGCTATTGCTGAGTGTGCATTTAAGACATCACCATACCCTATCCTCCTTTCTTTTGAAAACCACGTGGATTCGTAAGTAATACATAATTTCACTAGGGCACTTTTTTTTATTCAGAAGGTATTTGTTAATAGTTTATGAGGTACAAGATTATTTGGCATTTGTTAATAGTATTGTTTTAGATCATATATATTCTGTAAGATATTTTTATCCTTATAGAAAAGAATTTACATTTAATTTTTATTAACAGTAAAATATTGAAATTAGACACCTGATAGTCATATCAGAAATTTTAATTAAGTATTCTCCTCTTTTCAATACAGTAGAGCATACTTACAGGTACACAGTAGAATACATTTGTCATCTAAAAAGTCTGATTCACAAGAAGGCAAAATTAGTCACAGCCCTGCTTTTGTATACTTATTTCCACGCTGTGAGGTTCATGAGAATTTTCACCAAATAAAAATTTCCAGTTGGTTTTGCATAAACCAAGGCTACACTTCATATGTACTAGTGTCTCTATGCTCAGTATTTGAGGAGATAAGTCATTCCTGGCTTTCAGAGGAAGCAGGTAGAAGGGAGAGGGGGTGGGGATCTACCCCCACAACCCTGAATTATTAGGGATGCCCCCAGGCAGTTCTTCCACATTGTCATAGAAACTATCATTAGTGGCTAAAGAAGCAGGATTCTTTAGGTTGGTTTTCTGGAAGAGTGAGGAATGGGTGCCGAACAGGATGTGGTTTGAACTGCCAACAATCTTCCTACTTCTGGCTACAATCTTATGCAGCCCTCGTCACCATTTCTATTTTCTCGTCGTATTTTTCTGCTGGTCTTTAATTAGGCAGCTAGAGACCACAATATGAAGGCTCCTAAAAGAATATTTAAATGATATTGCACCATATAAATAGGAACGTGACCTATACTGTTAGAAAGCAGTGATCACACAAGGTTCAGCATTAGACAGAGCTTACAATGCCAGGCCAAACTTTTGTGTAAAATGGATGAGGAAGGAGCACGCAGCCTGTTTCCTGGAAACTTGACAGTCTGAGAGGTCAGGTAACTAACCACTCTGCCGGTGTGGCCCTCTCTTCCACTTTAAGTAGATCGTCACCCACTCTGCATCTCTCCTTTTAGTTTTGTTAATATTTGCAAATATTTTCATATTTAAATATGTATTCCTTTCATTGTTTGATTGAATCATTCAGATTTAGTGGTTTGATATTAAATTTATCATAAAACAGGAAGTTTGAAGGAACTATAACTAGATAGACAAATTTTGACTATAATCACTGAGTATATTTATATATATGTGCACTTCTCTTTCTTTACCTATATTCACATATATACATACAAATACGTATATTTGTATGTATACAAATATGTATATTTTTACAGTATAAAACAGGCAAATTATTGTATACATATATTGTATGTATATTAAAATACAATCAATACTTGTTCTTTGGAAATTCAAGGATCCAAACCTGGGGCCTTGGAATCATAAGGTATGGAATTTACAGTATTGATGCCACTGTGTTCTGAATTATCAGTCGTCATTCAATGGGCATTTAAATACTTTCTCTGTGCCAGGCATTTTGCTCAGCACTGAGCATGCAAAGCAAGACAAAAAAAAAACAGTCCCTGTCCTTATGGAGCTCCCATTCAAATAGGAGAGAAATTATGTGAATAATTGTATATGCTGTATATAAATGGATATTTATATGTGTGTGTATATGGAGTAGGTATATATACACATATATGCATACACACATGCATATATGTATACACACACACACACACATATAAACATACACAGGAAAAATGAAAGAGAAAATTCAGAGAGAAGGCACCCTCATCAAAAAGTACTTAGGAAGCCTGTCTTGGCTTCATTTCAGTGTGGGGGAGTATTTTAACAAGATTCAATTCTCAGCCAAACTACTTATAAAATATCTTAACCATTTGCCAAAAGAAGTTAGGAATGGGAATGGAAATAACCCCTCTCCCTTTTTTTTTTTAATTCATTTATGTATGGATTATATATGGAATCATAATGTATGAAATTTACAATATTGATGCCACTGTGGTCTCAATTATCAGTCATCATTCAATAGGCATTTTAATACTTTCTCTGTACCATTATCTCTCCTCTTCTTTTGTCTTTGTGTCTATTGATAAAATAATGAGCAATTCCCAGATTATTGATTTCCTCTGTCCAACTCAAGTCACAACTGCTTCAAAAGATCACCACTATCATCACCATTATTTATACCACCTATTTCAACTTTATATTTCTGTCATTGAAATTTTGATGAGTTCTCAAAATGTGCATAAAACACTTGTATAGTCTAATAAAGAGAATAATTTGATTCTAATTATGCAAAATTTTGAATTTAAAAAATGAAAGAGACAATACATTATATGTTTCTTCTTGTATTCATAAAATATGTAATCTTAACTATATTTTACTTATGTATGACTATGAGAGGCCATCTGATGAAGGGTGTATATATTAATATATGTTACTTTTAAGTAAGAATCACCAGCACCGTATTTATTGTGTTCCTGGCTTGTTTACTAAGAAGGTTTTGGTATTCTTATCATCTTTTTATGTCAATTTAGTTTTTAACACAGTTGGAATTTATGTGATAGAAACAGTGCTGATTCTGCAATCAGAAAATCATAATTCAGCTCTTAGATCTGCCTCTTGCTACCTGTGTAACCTTGGCCAACTCGCTTAACCTTCTTCTGTGCCTCAACTCTCTTATCTATGAAATGAGAGGTTTGGACTTATCTTTTAAAGGCCCCTCCAGCTCTAAATCTGTGATCCCTATGACCTTCAACATGATCATTGTGGCTTTCAGAAATATGAATTCCTTGTTTGTTTTGGTTTTTTTTTGAACACTTAGATAAGTCGTCTATTTTCTTTATTCTATATTCTGATAACACCAGAGATACCTTGATAAAGTAGAAGGTTATGATACTTATTATTCATCCTTACAGTGCTATTATCTTTTGTTTTACCATCACTTTGAGAGAAATGGGCTTCTGTTTAAAAGTTTTATTTATGCTTCCAGTGCTAAAGCTTTGGAGTCAGCAGCATCCTTCAAAAGCAATGAATTTAGAAAGCTAAATGAACTCAAGATAAAACTATTATAATATTTGCTTTCACCTGATCAGTAAACCATTTGCCAACAAAGATTTTTACAGTTCTTTTCCATGACTATCAGACCAAGTTTTTGATCCTAGAGATTAAAATTAATTCCTGAAATTCTCAAGAAAAGTGAGAGGATAATGTCAAAGTACTGTCATTGTTATATTAAGAACAATGCAATTTTTCATTATATACTAAATAATTATTAAACAGTATCATAGCTGGAGGCACTACATGATTAAAGAAAACAAATATGGCATTTTTTTCTGATAGCACACTGTGCTATATAAAATACTAAAATTACTAAAATTATAAAATACTAAATTACATTTAAAAAATCTGATGACGCTGAAATAGCTTCATAAGACTCAGCTCTGCAAGTCATATGGTAGAACCAGTTTTCTGGTTCACATTTCATTAATATTCTCATCATGATTACTATTACTTTATATTTATATAATACTTCACATATGTCACAGAATCTCAGAGTTGGAAGGGACCTAAGAGTCCATTGAATCCCATCCATTCCTGAACAAGGCTGTCATCTACAATATATCCAACAAAAGGTCACCTAGTTTTTGCTTTTAGGCCTTCAATTAGATGGCACCTACCACCTCTTAAGGAATATGATTCAGTATTTCAGATTACTCTAATTTATGCATCCTTAATTGTTTTTGTGTCATAAACTCCTTCAGCAGCATGGTGAAACCTATTTTCCCCTTGTCAGAATAATGTTGTTTCTTAATGATTAAAGGAAATTTCATTTGGAATTTAATGAAAAAAAAAAGTTTTGTTTTTTTTTCTTATCTAAGCTTCTAGACCTCATGAAGCCTATCCACAGACTCCTTGAGGGTCCATGGACCCCAGCTTACTCTAATTGTGAGGTTTTTTCCTTGCATCTATATACATGTCTCTCTGCAATGTCCAAATATTACTCCTAGTTCTTTCCTCTGAAACCTAGCAACAACAGATCTAATCCTCCTTCTGCATGACAGGTTGTCAAATAAATACTAACTTGTCTTTTCTTTTTTCTGGCTAAACATCCTCAGCCCCTTCATCTGGTCTTTAGACACCATAAGCTCTAGTCTCTGCACAAGGCTGGTTATCTTCCTCAACAGGAACTCCCTATTGCCTCCAGGATCAAATGTAAAATCCTCTGTTTGGCTTCTAAAACCCTCCATAATCTGACCCTTTCCTTTCTTTCCAATCTTCTTATACTCTGCTCTTCTCCATCTACCCCATGACCCAGCATCTGGCTGCCCTTCTTGCTGTTGCTTGGACATGCACCTACCATCACGAGAGTTTATCTCTCAGCTCTGTGACTTGTCACTGGTTCCCCTCTGCTCCCTGGGCTTGGAATGTGCTTCCTCCTCATCTCTGCCTTGCTTCCTTCAAGACTCAGCTTCAGTCCCCTCTTTATAAAGCCAGCAGGCCTTTTGTTGTCTGCCCCATTGCTTGTATCTTTACTCTAAGATTACCTCATATAGAAATTGTATAGGTATATAGTTGGTTGCATATTGTCTTCTCCAATAGTTTGTGAGTGCACAGACTGTATTTTTGCCTTTTTTTTTTTTTGTATCCCCAATGCTTAGCATAGTACCTGGGACACAGTAGGCCCTTAATAAATGCTTGTTGACTGACTGATATAATTTTATCATCTTCCTAACATTCACTATCCAGAACCAAATAGAACTTTGTAAATGTGGCCTAATGGGGACAAAGTAGAGTGGGATATTCATGATGCCTCTCTAAATTGCAACCTAAATTCCCATTGGTGGCTAAGTGGTACAGTGGGTAGAGTTGCAGGCCTGGAGTCAGGAAGATTCATCTTCCTGCATTCAGACTGACCTCAGACACTAGCTGTGTGACCCTGGGCAAGTCATTTAACCTTGTTTGCCTCAGTTTCCTCATCTGTAAAATGAG